CACTGCAGGAGCCACCTTGTGGTAAAAGATATTAATAAATGCTCCTTTGGAACCATTAGTAATGTTGATGGGCTAATTTAGATATCTTCATTATAAGGCTTAAATATACTTTGCAGCTCCATATAGATTTTTTTCTCTTTTTTGGAAAAAAAAAATGGCTCGTTTAATTGTAAAGGTTGCCAACCCCTGTAGTCAACTGTTTCCAGAGGTCTGGTGAAACGCCGTTAAGAATCTAGGTTGTGGCCAGTGGAGGTATTCGCAGATATACGGGGTGCACCTTTTTCTCTCCGTTTACAGTTACCTCCCAAGACCCAATGTCCTCGTACGAGGACATAGCATTTTGGATTTACTGGATTTATACTTTTCCATTCAGCTTAAAGGGAAATTTCGGTTTATTTCAACCCGTCTCCTATCGTCCTAAATTTGTTTCAAGTGACTTGTGACATAGAAATAATAGTTAGCATGTTAGCTGTTAGCCTAGATACAGCCGTAGCGTCAGACCTGTTAAAACGTAAGTGAACGGGCATACTTCAAGTGCAAAGTTAGTCCACTAAACAAGCTTTTTTTCCACAAAGACTGCCTCATATCATTAGGATAAATGTCAGAGAACATATAGAAAATGACATGTAAACGTGTTGTCTTACCTTACCGGTATGGTGCCATGTTTGTTTACATTTAGCTCTGCTTTCCAAAGCTCGGCCGAAATATATCTCGCCAGCTCTAGATAAAGCCCAGCTGGATACTAACGTTACTCCAGGTCAGAGTCCTGCACGGGTCCAGTTTTCAAGATCCGCCCCAACCCGACCCGGCGATGTACAAACCCGCACCCGAACCGCAAACCCGCGCATCAGGCCAATTAGTACCGCAGCCCGGTCCGACCCGTTAAAACACGATCCGCAGCCCGACCCGTAACCCGGATTTAAAGTAATCATTTTGGGTCATATTGGCTGAATATTGAACAGCATATCGCCACAGTTAAGGTGCCAGTAAGTAAACAACGACCTGAATGAAGCAGCTCTCACAATAAAAACCTGACTTCAGCTCCAT